CGGAGTTCGTGGGTCTGGACCTCGAGATGGCCTTCAAGCACCACTACCACGAGGTCGTCGACACCATCGCTGAAACATTCACTGAAATATTCAGAGGCCTGCAGGAACAGTTAGTATTATTCTATTTATTAAAAGCAATCATTTAGACCAGAAATCTCTTTAAGATATAAAAAAATAATGTTGATTTAGTACTCCCTTAGACTAGCTGTTGCACGCGACTTCGCCCGCGTGAAAGTAAAAATATAATAATAAATAGCCCATGTTACTAACAGATAAATTACCTTTCGAACGGTGAAAGAATTTTTAAAATCGGCCCAGTAGTTTTTGAGTTATTTCAATACATACAAAAATCTAAAAATATATGTCGTTCATCTTTATAATATTAGTATAGATTAGAGAGCGATTTTTATCCGAATTGAAAACAAAAATATTACATTTAAATATGTAATAATAATAATAATAACTCATTTAATCCGATCACAACATAAAATAACATAGTAATAGCAGATAAAAGATTGAGAGAATAAAAAAAAATACATGCTATGACATAGAACAACAGAATAATGAATACAAAAAGCACATACATAATTAGCAAGTGTATAAAAAAAACTGTACCGAATTCTCAAATGATTGGACGTTTTAACTATAGCTTCCACTAAACTACTTGCTTTTATTGATTTTTAATAGCTTAGTTTTAGTAATATTTGTGCAAAAAGTATTAAATAGAAAAAAAAATAAAAAGTCCACATCTGTCGGATAGTAAAGCGCTCCTAAGTCACCTTTGATTTTTTAAATCTTTTTGTAGTTCACATTCACGATTTGGCACATTTCTACCAAGAGTAATGTTTTAATCGGTGTGCCAACTTGTAGGTACGCGCGTGAGATCGCGGTGGTCGGACAACAGTTCCGAGTGGAGCCCTTCAAGTTCCTGGAGCCGCCGCTGCGTCTGGAGTTCCCTCAGGCTGTGCAAATGCTCAAAGAAGCAGGTCACACCACAAACATCTTAACTTATAGCTTTCCCGACTCCGTACGTGTGGAATATAAAAATAGCCTAAGTCTTCTTCCAGACTATCTTCTACATCTATGACAAATTTCATCGAGATTCGTTCAGCAGTTTAGGTTTTTAACTTTAACAAACAATGTATGTTTTTTTTTTCAAACTTTCGCATTTATAATATTAGTAAGTTCATAAAATACGGCTCAACTTACGTAAATAATTTGGTGTAGGCATCGACTACTTTATTATTATTATTTATAATATTATACTTTCTTGTCATTATTATTAATAATAACTCTGCTTTTAAATTTTAGTGTAATAACGGTTTTATCTCTTTAGCACCTTGTTTGAATTTTCTACAGCGTATTTTTTATCATTTCAAATTAAAAAAACGTCTAAACAGGGTTATGAAAAACTATGTAATTAGATCTCAAGGCAAAGTTTTAGCTATCTATGTATCATTTATCTTAGTTTTTGGTATTTTAAGGTAGGGCATTATAAGGTTTTGA